GAGAAGACTCCACGGAAGAACAAAAGGGACCGCTATTGGCCGAGCGGCGTCCCCCTCCACTAATGTAAGGGAAGATGGTGGGGGACGCCGCTCGGCGAATCACGGCCCCTTTTGTTCTTCCGTGGAGTCTTCTCCGCGCTCCCGCCGGAATAGTCTATTCGTATTTATTTGGAGTCGGAACAGATGCTGTCGTAGCACACTGTGCAACAAAGTAATTGAATCAAAATTGGAAAAGAACATTTATTAGTACGTGTGGTTGTGGTAGTGATCTTGAAAGAAACATCCTCAAATCAAACCTGTAGAGCCTTATTAATAGTATCCATGTATGCATTGGGGTAATAACAGTGATGTGACAATCAATGCATGATTGCAATTCAGACGATTTAAAACACGGACACTAATCTCCTTTTCAAATCAAAACCGGAGCACAATTATTAACATTTGTAAGAACTCGTCATTAAGGAAGGTTTAAGAAAACGAAGTGACATCAATTGCTGAAACTAAGAACTTGAATAAGCATAACATCTCATCATGGCATGTGAATCCACAGACGCTGATGCTGGCGGTCAGTCTTGTGGATGAGTGAGCATTCGCATTCTGGGTCATGCGAGAAGAGGCCAAGGTGCCAATCAAGGCGCCTCTCTTCCTTAACAAGCTCGGCGTCGCTTTGGACAAGCTCTGAAAGCACTTCATGGCAGCCCAGTGCGCAGGCCCTCTCGCAGGATGGACGCCGAAGAACACTGCAGCAGAGTCTCCGGGCACGGATCTCTATGTGGAGCGAGGGGTTCGCCAGCAAGACGGTCTTTACCACGTCCCCGTGGATCCAGTCGTGGGCGCACTCGTCGTCAGACAGAGTCACCCCGACGCTCTCCAGGTGCGGCGCCGAGGCGGTGTTGATGGCCGGCAGCAGCCGATCGGGGTCCTCGCTCGTGCACAGGTGGCGCAACGCCGGCAGCCTGGGCAGCACGTTCTTGAGCGGCTCGAGCAGGAGCGATTTCGCTCGTATCGAGTTGTTGACGACCAGCCTCTCCACGCAGGACTGGCGGGACGTGCCCAGCGCGGGGATGAGGGCGACGCAGTGCTCGCCGATGTAGCCAATCGGAGGCCAGAAGTCCAGGGTCAACTCGCGCAGCTGGACGGCGTGCCGGAGGAGCTCCGCGGCGTCGCCCACGACGGCGTGATATTGTGGAAAGGGGGAGGAGGTGACGGTCAGGCGCAGGACCCGGAGCGACTCGCAGGCGGCCAGCGCCTGCAGCCCGGGGAGGCCGGCGCACTCCAGCTCGCGCAGGTGCGTCATGGCGGCCAGCAACGGCGCCGTGGATATCAGCGACAGCACGCCCCGGGTTTCGTCTGAGAGGTAGACTCTCTCGAGCGTGGTGGCGTGCTCGGCCAGGATGGAGTTCACGAAAGGCTCCGTCTTGGTGATTAGGTTGCATTTGAAGTGGCGCACGGTGTGCAGCGCGGGGGCGGCCATGGCCGGGAGCTCGGCGATCCGACCGATCCGACCCCCGTCGAACGTGTAGTGCGCCTCGACGTCGAGGTGTTCCAGCCCGGGCGTCGACACCACCGTCTCCACCGCGGAGTCCCCGGGAGCCAGGCCGTAGAGACGCAGGGTCAGGCTCCTCAGCCGGCCCAGCGCGGCCTGCCGCCGGACGAGCTCGAAGGTGTCGGCCGCGGCGTCGGCGTTCTCGCGGACGGACACGGCCAACTCTTTCACGGCGCACCGGACGGGGAAGTCGGCCAGGCGACACGGCGCCGGCCTCGGCGTCAGGTACTGGCCCAGCGCGTCGAGGCGCGGTGCGAAGCGCAGCACCGGGCACACGCACTTGTTGGCGTCGGCGGGGAGCCGGTCGTAGCCCAGCCGGTGGTGGGCCCACGCGTCCGGGCGCAGGGCCGCGGCGCCGAGCCTCTTGCTGACCAGGCGGCAGGCGAGCAGGTCGTCGACGCTGAGGTGCTGCATGACCACCG